TGTTTCCTCCCAGTTCATCCCTTGCCTGAATAGCAAATGAAAATGAGATCCGTGGCATCTTCAATTTCTTGAATGATCCCATTACTATAGGTGCTCACTGAACAAGGGACAGGTCTAATTAACTTTTCAAGTGGTTCCCAGGTAAAAGAAAACACATCTTATTCACGTTCCTCCAGGGATTGAATCTCTCCACGGTTTATGAGACCACTCAATCCTGAGACATCAGCTCCACACTTCTCTCGATTGAGGAGCTAGAATGAAGCAATGTGATGTGGTGAAGTGTCCAAGTGGGTTAAATATTTAAAAATCTACCACAACAGAGAGAAACGATGGTCTGAATCAGAGATTAAAGTGTTGGAGAATAAATCAACAGGTCCCTTAAACCTGCTGCCCTTGAAAAATATACAACATACATTTGAGGGATATAAAGTGGATTCTTAAATGGATGTGCTTTAAAATCTGAAGACTGCACAGTAGCTCTCCTTTAGTTTCGTTTAGTTTGCGAGAGGTGGGTTATTATTTCCACCAAAGCATACTCCACAGTGTGCTGCATCTAGCCTTTCATGGAAGAATTGCATCTTTTCCTCGCAATCTCAGCAGACCCCTAAAGGTCATCAATTGTAGCAGCTCACAATCTATTATTGTATTTTATGTGAAACGAAAAAAAAAACCCAAACCATTGTCACAGCAGCATAATAAGCTGCCTTCCCAGCCGATAGCAGTTCTTAATAATGTGTGATCTCAGGTGTGATCTACTCTATTCAGAGCGTTGGCGGTAAGCTGGTGAAACATGAAGTCAAAATTGTTGATGAAAATGTACAGCCAAAACTTGAACATGTCATAAGACTCATTTCAAATCTTCCTTTACTAAATAACTGAGTCTTTTTCAATGGGTGGTGCTTAAATGTGCTTTTATTTGAGGACAGACCATCAATATGGCAACATGGCTCACCACAAGGCCGCTCAGCAATGCGTAATTCAGTAGGAAAGACGGTTGCCCTTCAGGCAGTGATGTATTCACTTTTCTGTAACATTTCAGTGAGTGGCTTATTCATTATGATGTTAGACCTACTGAAAGAAAGCTATAACCTGATGACTAGAGGCACAACACCCTAAATGATTACAGCAAATCAATACAGGAAGGTATTTTATTTATATTCCACCGCTTACACCAGCATTTTCATCATTGAGATAATCGCTTTACAAGATAACATGCTCTGGTCTTTCCCTGAGGCAATGTTATTTTTCTGTAACATATTTTCTGTACTGTGTACTGTGAATGTTGCATGGCCATATTATAGACACATGAACACGATATGGTCCAGTTAACTCTATGAGCCACCAGACTGCGAGTAAGGATATGTAATATATTACGTTGACCACCCTGAGAGCAACAAATAGTGAGAAATAGCTGTAGTAGCTACCTAAAACTAATTAAAAATGTGTCACACAGAGAAGCTGAAAGCCTAATTAAGCATGGTATCAAAGACAGTTTGGCTCTTTTTTTAATATATATGTTTGGGCTTTTTTTGCCTTTGATTGATAGTGACAGCTGAAGAGTGAAAGGAGGACACACATGTGAACTACCCCTCAAAAAGCAAATTTCACAAAGGCCACTAAACTGATTACATGTTTGGGAGTGTGCACCCTAAGGAGAAGAAGAAGAGTGAGGAAAGTAGTTCTGATAAAAATCTGTTGTGTTTCTTCAATAAATTGTTAAAACTGAGAGCCTAGGTTGTCTAAAAGTCAAAATTACTGCACTCTGTCAAAGACAAGGGCACGGACCAAAGAGTAATGGCTTAGCACCAACTTTGGTGTGCTTCTGCCAGAGCGGATTGAATTATGTTCTATAAAAGTTTAATGGGATTTCAGCTCGCCTAATATATAAAAGAAGGCCTGCAAGACTGAGTCGCTGTGCTTTGGTCCTTCCTTTATAGCTCTCTGCTCCCTGTACCATCTGAGACAGGATTACTGGGCAGGAAGCTGCCAAACAAACAGCTGAGTGGACACAATGTTTCATGGTTTGTATTTTGATTCACTGGTGGAGGCACATTCAATCATGCAGCAAATCACATTTAGGCAAACATAAGCACACCTTTTAATTCTAGAGTGTCTATCTCTGCCTCTGCCCATTACAACACTGAGCAGTGTAATTTAGAAGTGTGTTTAGCGCAGGTCCACATCTTAGGGTGGAAAATTCCACTTAGAACACTATTAGTCGAAAGTGCATATTTGCAACTCCTAAACCTTTTCATGCAGAAATAAAGCATTTTTTAATGAGCTTTTGACAAAACAAAAACAAACATCAATGTGTCCAGTCAATTAATTTGGCCACCACTGCAACTTTTGTTGTTGTATTGTTTTTCTGTACAGTTCTGGTTGATCTGCTCTCCCTCACATGTGACATGTTTTATACCAAAAAGACATCTACTGAATTGAGTTTCATGCACTGCCATATTTACTGTCCTGAGGTACAATGCAAGACCGTTTAATCATTTCGCGGTAGTTAATAGTTCAAGGTTGTCAAATGTCCTCTACCACTATGATTAAAATTGCTCAGTGGATAAACAAGTCCTCCTCGTACCTTTATACTTAGCTTCAAACATCTTCAACCCTGTATATATTCTGAATTGTAATTTGAGTATTACAATCAGTCATGAGAAAAAACATATTGTATAGGGTGTATTGTCCTGGGTCATACTTTTCAAAATTGACATGCGTGCAGTCTCATATTAATAACTTCCAGTGGAAAAGCCTGGATGTCAGGGATGTTCAAGGTATTGGATGGCCGCTGTTTAATGAGTACCCTGTGGAGTTTTCCTTAAAACAGTTCTGTTTTTTTATACTTTCCATATTTCTCACTATTTTAAACACATTTGCCTTTTAAATGCAATTTTTTTTTTTAACAACTAACAACTACAACTAAACATTTGCTTTTTTTAGATGCTTTGGTACCAGCATTGTCCACATTGCCTTGTTATTGTCCTCTTTTAAATACACATTCTCACCTTTTACAGCACATCACATAAAACGTAGTAATGTACTGGATATTATGAACCCACTTTTGTGTTAAATGTCACTGTTGTCACAACATCCCCAAAGGGATGAATGTGCAAATATATTTTTGAATCAATGTGACTTTTATAGACAGCAGAGTTACAACATATTGGTCAGACATTTCTGAATTCCTTTGAGACACATTTGCTTTTCTGTCTGGCCTGACTCCTGCTGTGCTTCATTTACATTCAGACAGCCAGTCCCAATTTTACCCAAGGCGGTGCTAGGTATTTCTACAAACTCCAATACTTGTTGTCTCAGAATTGTATTACATATAGAATAGGTAAAACAAAACATGAATGACTACATGAATGCAGAATTATTTTTTAGATGATATTATTGTCTCATAAGCCACTAAAATCGTATGTGATTTCATTGCAGAGTGTGTCACTTACATTTGAAAGCCTTTGATCAATGTGGCCATTTTTATGTTACCTACTTACAGTATTCACACTACAGCTGGATTAATGTTGCATTGTTGTCACAGTTAATTAAAAAATTTAAGCCGTTTAATTATAAAAACATTAACCATGTTTGTAGTGACAAAGGAACAACACAATACATTTTATAGCATTGCAAAGTGCCAAATGTTGTGTTTTCACAGTGATCTTTTTAGACAGACAGAATATTACAATATCTAGCCATTAACTACTGCAAAGCAGGCAGCAACACATTCACATATTCTGTACAGCTGAAAACAGCTTGCAGGACCCCCAGAGTGCACTTATCTCCAGCCCTGTTTCCATCTCCATCTCCACTGGCTTCCAGTCCGTTT